GGACAAAACATGCTGAAAAGACCCATATTGGTACAGTGGGGACAGTACGTCGTCGATCTAACGACCGGGACAGCCCATTAAGTGGGACCCAGGTCGTTACATGTTTCATGTGTAAATTTATACTAGTTTTAAGTTATATAGAGTTCATATATTCTTCCCATAAACAAAGATTGTAATACTTATATATCATGTATTATGTAAAGAATAAACGAATGGAAGAACCAAAACCATCCAAATTTATATGTCTACTTTTGAAATGTGACTAGGAGGTTGATCCAAATGAAAATGCCACATTAATATGATTCAACTGCATGCAGGCTAAAATTGGAACAACATTATATAGTTCCGCTCAAAAGAGATACTACATTTATTTCTCTGAACGCTAGCTATTAAAATTCAAGTCAGGTCAACAATTAATACCAGTCACACATTTCGTAGGACTCATAATTTTTCAACTACTAATTCCGTTAACTTTTATAAAAATTTGCTAAAAATTTAATTTTGATCTCTACCAAACAGGAGCTTAATATTTTTGCTCGATGAACTCAAATAGCAGAAAGATAATACAAAAAGTAACCAAAAGATATATCCGTCAAAAACAACCAGAAAACGTTATTCGTGTTAGCTGTTGTGTTTAGGACTGCTGCCACGTTTGTGGCCTGTTCGTTTTTTTATTCTATTTTTGAATATTTCAAAGTTTGTTTCCTAGTTTCTAGTAGGTTGTTAATGTTCAGTTTTTATGTGTTTTTAATCGTGGTTTAATTATAGGATATGGTCTTAATGGTTAGTTGTTTTTAAGTCTTTAAATACTAGCATTGAATTCAATAAAATTATCTCTTCTTCGACAGAAGCTCTGGTGTTCCTCAAGACTTCAAAGTTCTCTTTTTTTTCTGTTGCAATTGCTTCAGAGTTGTCTTTGTTTTTCTGTTGCAATCTCACAACAAACAACAATTCGAAATCCACTTTCAGCGTATGACCACAATCTGTTTCATGTCTGTAAATTTACACAAGTGTTAAGCGATATAGAGTTTATATATTCTTCTCATAATCAAAGATTGTAATACATATATATCATATATTATGTAAAGATTAAAAGAATGGAAGAACCAAAACCATCCAAATTTACATTTAAAAAAAAAAAAGAGAGAGAGAGAGAAAAAAAAATTCCACAACCATGATCCTTGTTGAAATCGATCCTATGGTGAGGGATGACAAGTGTGCTTCTAAAGGATGCTCTGCTTAGGCG